TTTTTTCTTATGTGGTGCTGAGGAATTGAACCCAGGGCCTCAGGCATGCAAGGCAAGCGCTCTACCACTGAGCCACCTTCCCAGCCCCGCCAAGCATTCTCTTTGCTCTTTACCGAGATATCAACATGGCCACTTCCTCATTTCTTAAAAGTGTTTTATTTTTTTCAAGTAAGACCTACCCAATGAAGCCTACCCTTGGCTATCCCAAGTATAGGGTGTTTGGAAGCAAGTTTAGATGGGGAGGGGGATGCAGGTATGGATTGTAAGGTCCACTCTTGGGTAGCAAGCAGACTTCACCCTCCTCATAGCAAAGTCTCCACCCAGTACCTGCGTTACCTAGACAACTGGGACACCTGGAAGAGGTCACTTCTGCATCCGCTGAGTTCACATCTGAATTTGATGTGGCCACACCTTTCTCCGCCCATACCCTAGATAAGGCCTAGCCCAGGCCCTGACGCCCTCTCTCTGCTCTTTTCTAGCTCTTTCTCAGCTCCTTCCTTCTCTTGTTTCCCAGCTCCCGTCTTTTTCCTAGCTCTCTTTTTCCCACCTTTCCCAGACGCTTTCTTTTCTAGCTCTTTTCTCTCTCTTTCCCAGCTCTCTCTCTTTCCCAGCTCTCTCAGCTCTCTTTCCCAGGCCTTTCCCCACCCCGTGGAGGACCAAGATGGCCTGGTGCCAGCGGGAACGATGAATAAACCTACCCCTTACCTGAATACCACGTACGTGCTGCTGTTCTTACTCGGCTATCTTTTTGTAAAAACCTAACATGGATCAAGTTTCTAGAAGCAATTTTTGCAAGGAACAGATGGGAAGTGAACAATCTCAGAATCAGATGAATCGCAGTGTGTGTAGGAAACAGCACAGAAAGCAAGTGTGGTTATAAGTGTGGTTACAGAAGCTAAAAACTAAGCTCATTCTTGTCAAGTTATTTTGCTTATTATCAAAGCAGTTCCCCTTAGGTGAGGCGGTCCTGGCTTCTTTCAGGTTTCTGGACCTAGTGTTAGCCAGGCTGGGCTCCTTGACAAAGTAAGGTAGAGCAAATAACTTAGAATTTTACATAGGATGTTCAGAGGCTGTACCTCCTGCCTAGTACATGAGACCCACCCCCACCCCAATCATCAAAAAAGAGTAGGGGCATTTTTTTTGGAGAGGGGGCAACTCTGGGGCTTGAACTCAGGGCTAGGACACTGTCCCTGAGCTTCTTTTTCTCAAAGCTAGCATTCTACCACTTGAGC